TCCGATAGCATCTCAACCGTGCCGTTGACACCATTTTGAAAGGCGGCAAACGAGAGGAATTCACGGTCAAAGCAAGACCAAGATGGTGCAAGGCAGCTGCATGGTCTCTGAACGGCACGCGCGCAGTTTGGTTTGATTTTGGCTTTAGCGCGTGTTTTGGGCGCTGCGGTGGCCTCGAAAATAGCATGTTTTTTGCACTTTAGGGTTGAATTAGCACTGATATTTACAGAATGTCATAGACCTATGTCCCCCCTCAAAGGGGGGAAGGCTATGGGATATCTCATCTATGTTTTAACTAAATATGATGAGAGTTGGCATGTTTACTTAGTTTGTTCTCCTGATTCTAAATATACAGTTATTTTTTCTGTAGCTTCATTAGTTAAGTAATCAAGATAACAATCTCTATTGTTCTTACCACACTAGAAAAGTCACCGCCAGTTGAAAGTTTACAAATGACATATGGAATAACAGTAGAAAGCGTAAAACATACAACATAGGAAACACTTTTTGACTGGGTCATCTTACATTACAGTATACTAACCTTCATAGCTCTGTATGTGGCCATGGTGTGGTCACACAAGACTAATTTTAAAAACTTGAATCAAGAGAAATTAGAATCTTATGTTGTGTGCTCCAAACAGCTTGTGGTATACACATATCCCGAAGGAGTACGGCCACCAGCGTGGGTCCGGTCTTAGCGAGCCGCTGGGCACGCGTTAACCGTCGCCGTGGCGAGAACACGATACTGCTCAAGTCGCAACACTTTATTGTGGCAACACCAAACGCAGTACAGCCCGTTGCAAAAAGGCGCGGTGGGAAAGCAAGTAGGCTTATCCACGCCACGGGCACAAAGTACTACTTCGGGTGCCACGAGCATGTCTCCGCGGTAAAGGTGATCCACGGAGACACCGGGACAAAGGCCTGGTTGCTCGAGCGAGGGCAAAGGCGCTCGCGTTGGCTTCGAAGGGAGACGGGTCGGCGTAGCGAGGCCACGCACTAGGACACCGTACCGCCCTTCGGCCGTGCGTACGCAGCGGGGCAACAAAAAGGTGAGCGTTCGCTTCGGGCGCGAGGCGCCGTCAGCGAAGTCCGACGAGCCCCCAGCGACGGGAGTCGACGGACGGAAAAGATTGCGTGGCTCAGCGTTTGCTGTCCCGGAGAGTATCTGACCGCTCCCGACGCAGCGCGCGAAAACCTCTTGGGAGTCCCCGCACGCGGCGCCACAGTCAACACCGCTTTCGGGTGAGGGAGTTATGCGTCACTCCGCTCTCCCACCACGGCAGACAGCAAAGGAGGGCAGACATGTCGGGACATGAGAACGGCAGAAAAGGCGGCAAAGCCCGCGCAAAGGCAGCGGGCTAGCCTCAATTCCCACAAGCTTCATGCTGTGAAAAGAATTATTCTGCTATCTGTAGTAGTTGCCTATATTTTGCAGGAATTGTCATGCAGGGTGTACAATATTGTCATTTTAAGTAAATAAAGAAAACAGAGAATTCTAACATTTTTACTTGTAAACACATATGTACTTGAATTTACAGTCATTAACATGTATTTGGATACTAGAAAGCCTAAGGATCCCCGCCGCGGTGGTCTAGTGGCTAAGGTACTGGGCTGTTGACCCGCACGTCGCGGGTTCGAATCCCGGCTGTGGCGGCTGCATTTCCGATGGAGGCGGAAATGTTGTAGGCCCGTGTGCTCAGATTTGGGTGCACTTTAAAGAACCCCAGGTGGTCAAAATTTCTGGAGCCTTCCACTACGGCGTCTCTCATAATCATATGGTGGTTTTGGGACGTTAAACCCCACATCAATCAATTAGAAAGCCTAAGGAGTGCAACTCTGCAAGCTGATCGAAAATTAACAAGTACTTCTCGTATTACGGCACACTAAAGTTCATTGCTTGGAACCAAGAACAAAAAATATCTCAATAAAGCCTTAAAAGGCCAAAAATTGCAAAACAAAATCGACTTTCGGCATCTGTACCTATTTTTGCACCTTTCTGAGAAGTTTCTAGCTTCTCGCGTTATTTCTAGCTTCTCGCGTTACAACAGTGAATCCATTTATGGTGAACGTGCTCACCGCCAGCGCAATGGAAGCATCTGGCAACAGGTAGACTTCTTTTAACGTGTTTGCAACGTTGTCGCTGTCTCCTCTCGAAACTGCGGCAGTCTTTTGTGCAAAGGAAACGGGAGGTAGTTTGGTTCGGGACATTTACGGGTAGCTCATTCTGAACAAGCCAGAAAACATCGCCGTGTAATTCGACGGATTGCGGATGAAGCGCGCACATTCGTAGCACATCGCTGTCAGTACAGTCGCCGAACTGATAAGCGGCCTTGCGGCAGACGAGCACACAGCGGCAACTTTCTGCAGTACTATAAAAAACACACTCCTGCAAACAATCAGCCCTAGTACATTTGCGGTGCATATTAACTGACTAAAAGTATGTGCGCCATGATATTTTCCACTCGGAACGGCGAAATAAAGTTTTAACAGCATTTTACTTGAAGCACAGATTTCGACCACTTTCTTTTTCTTGTTCGGTAAAAGTGGACGTAGGACAGCTAGAGCTGTAATTGTCTTTGCACAACGTAGCTAAATGTGCACAAAAAATAATGCTGGGAGCCGATAATTAATAGGCAGCTTTATTTTTTTAATATAAAAATGTTTTGTTTTCGGTTACATGCAATCAACTTTATTTATTGTGCTGTAATTCCAGAAGTACTCGCCCAATTTTCGATCAGCTTGCAGTGTTGCACTTAGGCTTTCTAGTATCTATGTAAATGTTAATGACTAAATTTCGAAGTACATACATTTTTACAGTTAAAAATGTTAGAATTATTTGTTTTCTTAATTTTTTCAAAATGGCAATTTTGTACACCCTGCATGAAATTCCTCCACTATATCGGAAACTAATACAGATAGCAAAATTTTTTTTTGCTGCATGAAGGTATATGTTTAGCACTTAACACAGGAAGCATAGCGTGATTTCTCTTGACGAGTTTTTAAAAAATGAGTCTTTTGTGTGACCACACAATGGCCACATTCAGAGCTATAAAGTTTGTTGTACTCTTTTGTGTGACCACACAATGGCCACATTCAGAGCTATAAAGTTTGTTGTACTGTAAAGTAAAAAATGACGCAATCACAAAAGTGCTTCCTATGTTGTGTAGCTTGTGCTTTCCAATGTTGATCCGTATGCTATTTGTAAATTTTGGACTGGTAGTTGTTTTTCTATTGTAGTAGGAACAATAGATATTGTTATCCTAAATATTGAACTAATGAAGCTACACAAAAAGTAACTACATTTTTAGTATCTAGAGAACTGAGTAAGCACGCCAACTTTTCTCACAATTGGTTCAAAAATAAGTGAGAGCCTTAAGACACATGTCCCCCCTTAACGAAAAAAGAAATGGAGCTGCACATAAACATTGCCGCTCAATGTATTTTGTTTACATGTAGCTACGTTGTGCCAAAATAATTACAGCTCTAGTTGTCCTAGGTCCACTTTTAGAGAACAGGGAAAGTGTTTTGGGAAAGTCGATCTGTGTTTCGAGAAAAATACTGCTAAAATTTATTTTGCCATTTCGAGACAATAAAATTATGGCACACATACTTTTAGTTAATTAAGGGGGCACACTGTACTTGAGACGAAAAGCCAGGTATTTTCATGTGTTTACAAGGAAAATGCATAGTGTGAGTTTTTGATGCTGATTTCAAAAATGTAATTACTGTTCCTCTAAACGAATTAGTTTTGATGTACAAAATTAATTATGCATTATTTGCCGGTATAATGACACAATGATGTCGCAGACTGAACTCGTGCTCTTGCTCATCAATTACAAGGCTCCAAGAGCAGCGAGGTCTTAGTTTCCTTTTCACCTAAGATTGCCACATTTCAAGTTGAGGCCGCGGCGCAATATGTTCATCTTCGCGGGTGCGTCATTACAAGAACTCTGCTCGTTGCCAGTAGCATTCATTGCGCAGGCGGGGAGCACGATTTGTGGCTCCGACATGGGAGAGCGGGCGGGACGGGACATTAGTTGCGATGGTTTCATTACGGCCGATGATGATGCCGACACTGACCGCGCGCGGATTAGGGCGTTGCGTTTAAAGTGCACGGCAAGACCGATTTAGAGGAATCTGATTGTGAGGACGACGAAAGATCTAGAGCCAGTGCCCAGGAGCCTGCTCTATGTTGGCTACAAAAAAGCCTAGAGTATAAAGTTGGGCATGTTGGTAAGACATACTTAATCGACATAGTGCGTTTCAAAACATAGGACAGGGGAAGGGACAGAAGGGAGCGCTTAACGCAGCCGGTATAGACTGAGTAGGAGGAGAACACACAAAAGGGCCTGTTGTACTAGGAAGCGCTCCCTTCTGTCCCTTCCCCTGTCCTATGTTCTGAAACGCGCTACGTCGATTAAGTATGTCTTACCAACACGCCCAATTTTATACTCTAGTCAATTAATTACCTTTCTAGTACAACGGGCCCTTTTGTGTGTTCTCCTCCTACTCCGTCTATAACGGCTGCGTTAAGCGCTCCCTTCTGTCCCTTCCCCTGTCCTGTTTTGAAACGCGCTACGTCGATTAAGTACAAAAAAGCGTTGGGCAGCTTGTATGTGCCTCAAGCCTCGGCAAAAAGCACGCTGCCGCTTTAAACTCGAGGCCACGCTCATTGCTTCTGCTCTTCGAAACGCATGAATCTAGGACTTTTTTGGGTTAGGTGTTAGTGTTTTCACTGGCAACTTTTTTTTCTTAAAGCTGTGTTTCATTTACTGCGAACTTCAAGATACAGTGAACGGGTGCCGTATTATGCTTAGGTTCATATAAGTGGGCTCAACTGTGCCACCAAGAATAATAGTGAGTAGCTTTGCTTCTTAGTGTTATGTCAATTCGAAAATGTCAGCTTCAAAACATTTTTTCAGCTCTTTGTTGTCCGAGATGTGCCCTGCCCTCACGAAATGTACTGTGCTTCAGGGGTTGTTTTTGCTGATGTGGTGCAGGAAGGCAAAGGAAATGATCAACCAGATTATAAGTCGTGGAGGGGATCCAAGCCAGCTGAATGATGGCCACGTCGTAGTGGAACTCATGGTGCCGGGGCCCCGGGTGGGCCTGGTCATCGGCAAGGGCGGCGAGACCATCAGAGGGCTGCAGGTATGAGCCAACGATGCTGCTGGAATGTTCCACTGCTGCCCTTTAGAAATGGCTTAGGCTGAGAAAAATTGAACTGGTGTTTCGAGCATTCACTTGAGCCTTCTGTGTGGCCTCATCATGGAAGGTGAAACACGAATGCGAAAGTAGGCTGCTTGGCTACCGAGCTTAACCACAATGTGCAGCTCGTTTCTGAGCTGCAGTGTAGTAGGCTCTGGTACAGAAGCACAGCAGTTTGCTCAAGTGTCCTCCCCATTGTGTTGAAATAGAAATGCATATTGCAGTTATTCTCCGGGCGAGCTTCGTTATCCGCTTTTGCCAAATTTTTTTAAAGCGCTAAAATTTGTCTGAAAAGTGCAAACTGAGGAAAACTCACAACTCATGTAACTGATAAATTTCACTTGTAAAAATGAAACTGTAACCTGAATTCAAGCAGGAACAACAAAATTTGGTGTGCGACAACCTAACCCAGATTTATGGCAAAAGATAGTCAAACCTCAATATATCGAACACGGATATATCGAATTATTGCCTATATCGAACGGCTCCTATATCACGCGGGAAATCGCATGCATTGTTGATCTTTCATTCGAAGAAAGTTTGACATATAATGAATATATCGAACTCAGCCACCCCAAACCGCCCGCGCTCCATTGACAGGCGGCGAGCTTTCCCGCAACTCTTGAAAGTAGCGGTAGAGAGGCGGGCGTTTACGAATGCTGCACACATCGATGGCGCCGAGAGCGCCACTTTAACGTAGCAGCGTACGCGCGCCGCAGCCTTGCGATAGAGGTTCTTGAATGAGAAAAGTAAAGAGAAAAGCGCGGAGCTGTTATTTTCTTTCAATACGAAGGCACCGACACGGCTTTGCGCGGAGGGAAGGGGGAGTGGGAGGAAGGGGGAGTGGGATGTGCGCACTTTACACTCGGACTCACGCCGCAGTCTTGCAGCTTGCAGTCGTTGCAGTCTCTATGGTGTCAATGGCAGACTGCGCACTTGTTGCAAGCTCCTCTCCCGTAGCATCGGCAGACATCGGTCGTTGTGCTCGCAGTGTTTGTGCATTCGGAGTTAGGCCTGTCGCGCACTGTTCGGCGTTAGGCCTGTCGCGCACTGTTCGGAGTTGGGCCTGTCGCGCACTGTTCGGAGTTGGGCCTGTCGCGCACTGTTCGGAGTTGGGCCTGTCGCGCACTGTTTAAAGTTCGGCCTGTCGCGCGCTGTGGTGCGCGACAGGCCTAACTCCAAGCAGCGGAGCTCACTGATGTGGAGATTGTCGCCAAAGCTACTGCTGAGCAGCCAAATGAAGACTCTGCCGAGGTGGATCCCGCAAGCGCTGATGGTGCCCCGCTCCCGACATCAGCTGAGGTCATAGCTGCGGCACGATTGAAGGCACCGGCCTATCACTTATGCATCGCCTGGACTATATTGAGGACGCAGTTGTCAAACACGCCATGGCCAACAAAAAGCAGGCTACTCTTTTTCAATATTTTAAACCAACACAATAAATACTATGTTTGAACCTTCAAGTGAGTATTTACTGCACCACGCTTGAGCGGTTCGTTTGTCGTTTTCAGCAAGCTGTTGACGCATTTTTTTCGTGATTTTTTCTATCGAATTCTGGATATATCGAACTACTTCGCAATCGCCGCGCCGTTCGGTATATCGAGGTTCGACTGCAATTTCCTAGCGACGACTAGTGTGATTTCCTAGGGATGACAGTGTGTTGCATACCTCCCAGGCTCTCTATAGTACAGGCACAGCCATGAATTTCCCAGAAAATGCAGCCTTAGCCCCACACTCAAAGGGAATTGATTGGTTCAAATAAAATTACTAGCCTTCAACATCAATGGCATGTTAGGGACTCTCTTTCTCTCTCCACACTGATGTGTAAGGGGGGGGGGGTGCTTTTGAGTTGAAATCAAATAAGAGCTACTACCACAATGATCATTGACATGTGATCTTTATTCACGGTTTGGTGAATTATCCTTAATCTTGAAGAACTCTGGATAGCACACAAATGTATACTGGGTGCATGAATAAATGTCTGAATATGCTGACACAGTCAAGGAAATGCCATATTGGCTCATAGCATTTACGAGTGATTGTTAAAAGGGGAGACATGGTTCTTGGGATCCGGAACTTTGCCAAGTAGCATTTTCAAATTTATTCTACGATCGTGCACCTGTGTGCAAGTTTTGGTTTCAGTATCTCCTGTATTATTGGTGTAGCAGTAAAGAAAAGGTGTGCTGGCACACCTCGAGCCCTTTAAATTGTGGACTTAGTGCACTTATTTGGGCTGCTTGTAACCCGAGCGGCCTGCTCCAACCCGGCCATTTTGGTGGTGTGGAAAAGCTCTCACATTTTGGTTTTTTAATCACTTGGTTGGGCAACACTGAGCTTGCCACCTTCTCAAATAGAAAGGGGTAAAAAAATTGGCCCCGTATCTGTCAGTGTGCAGCGTGGGCGCACACTCTTCGGTTTTTTACTCTAAAGATCGATTTTTTACTCTAAAACTTTGGACTTCAAAAGTGCACTGTCAGGGTTCCCATAGGGCAAATGCATTTTTTCGATCGATTTTTACGACAAATTCGCCCCCGTAAAATAGGATTTTTCGGACTAAGTCGCTTGTTTTGAGCTGTGCCACGAACCTGTATTGGTGCCGCCATGTTGGATTTTCTGCCGGCTTGACTAAGCTTAGTGGCTTAATTTTAAAATCGCTTTCCTGTCTCCAAGATTGGAAAGCAAACGTCATATTTCAAGTTTCAGAGGTCTGCTTTAGAAAACTCTGCACGGGACCATTTTTTCCTCTTCGGTCAGCCGTAGTGGTCAGCACTGTTTTCATCACACTGTACAGGGAGTAGGCGGAGCTGTGCAGTAGTGGAGTGAATGTCCCTGCCAGAATGACATTAGGGAGTTTTAGAATAGCGCACCGCGAGCCCTTGCAGTGTGGTCGCTGCCACTGCGCATGTGTCGTAAAAAATCCGAAATAGCTTGCGGCGATCGTGGCCCGCGAGGCCCACAAAGTGTGTGTAGCTTCCATGCATTTGTGTTTGCGGCCGGGGCGAATGTCCCTAGACCTTTCCCTAGGGGAAGCAAACGCTATTCCAGAACTTGTAATGCGTCCGCTATACCCGCAATGCCTGCAAACATTCTAAAACTCCCTATTTAAAGACTTCGCTTGTGCGGATGATGACAATTTCGTACGCGGATCCCACTGACAAAAACTTCGCCAGGTTGTTCTGTAACTGGAAAGCGGTTTGGATGATGATGATCGCCCATGCTTCTCGGCCTAAAAGACGAAGTTGGGGTCGCTTTCTGCTGGTTTTTGACAACACCGAAGACAAATTGGAGAGGACTGTGCAATCCAGCACAAGCCCCGTATAAAATTCAATAATGCAGCCCACCCCAATGTGCGAGCTATGGACTCTTGTAAGCCACACATTGGTGATGTTGTTCGGGCTTGAAGGCTAAATTTTGCTGCACACGTCCTTTATCGCATGCGTGACATCTGCAAAGATGTTTTGTGCAGCTTCCTATGCTCCAGGTTTGAATGTTCTTTAGGTGTTCCTGATAGGTTTTTTGATTGCCCAGATGTGAGACATTCATTGTAGCCCAGAAGTTATTTAGGACAGTGGGCCCTTTTCCAGTGGACTTCATTGCCTGCATGGCTCTTACGTTGACTTCAAAAGCCCTGCCTTTGGATTTTCTACTGGATGAGCAAAGAGAATGAATAGGGCCACAGGAAGCACAGAAAAGCACCAGTTTTATTGCCATGCCCAATTTTGTCCCATGCAGCACTGACAGTCTCCTGACAACATTTTGGACAGAGTGCAGGCCCTATTAGAGAATTCGTGGCAGAAACCTGAACGAGGGTGAACTCTTCATCTTTTGGTGCCGAGGTTTGCTCAGTCTGCTGCGCGAACCTGAACTTGCGATCCGTTGCCGACACTTCGTGAAGCGCATCGCGGACACTGCTGGCTTGCTTATTGACGCCATCCAAGGGCGCGAAACGAAGTTCCAGATATATTTGAACGGTGTGCTTCTGCTTAGGCAACCAATCGCCGACATTCTGGACAGCTGGCACCACGCAGTCGTCTGCTGCCATGAGGTCGAAACATCTCTCTCGTTCACGCTACTCCGCAACTCGGTCATTAATTCTTGTAGGATTGCTCGCTCTGACCATACATAATTTTCATATGTCGGTGTATTTGATCACTCCCAGCATTTAAAAGAAAACTTACCTACAAACTAGCGAATGCAAAAAACTCAAATTTCTCTATACAGTCGCCGACCGTTTATTCGGACTTGACGGGAACCGCCAAAATGTCCGAATAATCGGGAGTCCGAAAAAAAAAAAAACGGATTCAATTGAAAAAAAAAAAGCACTTTTATAAGCCTTATCGCCCGAAAAAACTCATGTCTGCACACACGCACGCTTCCGAGACAGTTTGCTTGAAAATAGAAACTTCAGACCGAGGTAGGCCGCCTTCTACCTGGCAGAATTATATCTGCTTTCTTCGTCATCGTTGAGCGTCTTGTAGCTCCCACGTTGGCCGCGTTTCTTCACTCCCGACGGCGCAGCAATGGGTGGCGTTATAGCCATTTCAGCACGCCACTGAACACGCAAGAGAGCGAGAACACAGACAACAAGACGAATCGGGCCTAGCCGCAAAAGCAGCTGACTGACACTGCTTACAAACACCACAGCGAACACTCTATAGGTGGCTTGGCTTGGCCGCTCGACTGGCTAAAAAAAAAAAAAAAAAAAAAGCGTCGCCAAACATAGCCTTCGAGATTGGCAATGGCGATTTCTGCTTGCATTTTGACACTGGCCAGACATCCATCCATAGCTAGTGCAGCATATCAGTGCTGGCAACCTGGCAAACGTATTGTTAACATCGCTCTCAGCGTGTAATGGCGTACGGTGACACATCCGGTCAGTCAAACGGAGTCCGAATAACCGAATGGCGCACAGTGGGGCGTCCAAATTTTCGATCGTGAGTTTACATTAGGATCAATGGGGAGTGTGGCGGTGCCATAAAGATGTCCGAATAAACGGGCATCCGAATTTTCGGCGTACGAATAAACGGTCGGCGACTGTACTTAAAAAAGTGCTTGTTGCACAGAAAAAGTAATTGCATATTTGGAATGAGCATGTCAAAATAGATAAGGTTGTGAGTTTGAAAATTCACCCCAGAAATACAAAATAAAGATCTGAAAAAAATTTTTGTAGTGGGGTGTCCCTCCTTAAACATAAAGAAGATGGGTGGTCAGGCCAAATTGGAGCACTTCTTGCAAACAGTGCACTGTCACTAAAACGCTGCTTCTGGTAATATATTTTAAAATTCACCTGCACAGGAGCGAGCCAATGTAAAGATGGTGATGATTCAAGATGGCCCCCAGCAGTCTATGATGGACAAGCCCCTCCGCATCACCGGCGAGAAGAGCAAATGTGAGGTCAGTATTCATTTGAATCAATCTTTGTTGCACAAAAAAAAAAAGTGTTCAAACCATCTTCAAAAGTATTGCACACACTCAAGTTATTAAGGAGCTGTTTATTGAGAAATCTGCTTTTTACAAGTTCTGTTGTGTGCACTTATCCATAACCTTCCAGCATCATTTCAGAGTTGGGAGGTTTCTAGCAAAGTGCTATAGTAACTTGCTGGAGGATTTCGCTGACACCCTGAGGGCATCTTTCGATTCCCTGGGAAGGGAGTTAGATAGTACCCATCCAGACATGCAGCTGGCTCTCAGAGCAGGTATTTCTTTAAGAGGGGGAGAATGTGGCTTTCGGCACCAACTTGTATTTCATTATGGGTTGAAAAAAATTGGCACGCTTGTTCGAAATAGTTTTTAATACAACTGTGGGAAGTTCATGAACGTATCTTTACAGCTTTATGCATAATACATTTCGCATTCTGTTCTTGTCTATTTGTCTCATACACTACCAAATTCTGTAATAATCAAAACATGATTTAACTGTTTAAAAAAAAGAAAGCCCTGTTCGAGGCCACTGCAGCTTCTAAAACAGACGCAAATGCTGAAGTCAAACCAAACTTCGACCACGCTGTTCCATGCGATTGTGGTACTGTTTTGACTGATTTTTTCCCCCTCTCATTTGCTGCCTTGCGAAATTGCATTGGCCACAAGAGTGAGATGCGACTGGTGTTTTCCTGCGATGCAGAGCACTGATTGGTTAGAGCAGCGCATTCTTCCGTCTCGGTGAAACAGTGGCTAGGGTGCGCGGCTGCTCACCTGAAGGTTGCGGGTTCGATCCCCGCCGTGGCAGTTTCATTTCGATGATGGCAAAATGGTAAAGGCCTGTGTGCTGTGCTGCTGAGCGATACAAATGTCCTGAATGTAAGCTTAGCAAAAAATAAATTATTGAACGATTTTTTACTGTTCCAAGACCCACGTACCTTTTAATCGTGACAGTTAACTTTCCATTGCAGACGCAGCAAATGTCCTGTGCCGTTCCCATGTGCTGCAAATTCTATGCATGCTAAATGAAGTATTTGTTTAATTTCAGTACGCCAAGCGTCTTGTGCTAGACCTCATCACGGAAAAGGAGCTGGAAGTGAGTGTTATTCTCAGATTGTTTTAGCATGCATCCTTTCCATCTTTAGGGATCAGTGGTGTGCTTTCCCTGGTCCCTGACAAGGGAAGGTACAACATTTTTGGCATAGGGCATGGTCTGTGTGCTCAGCTAGGAACATTGCAGGGTGCACTAAAACCCTGTGTCACATGTGCCTCGACAAGCAGCCATGATGTGCGTGTGTCTAAAAGCAGTTTCTTCTGTCCAGTGGGTGCTGTCATATTTAACCATGTTACTGTGGTGCACTGTGGCATTCTGACTTAGCTTCAAAGGACTGAGTCAACACTGTATTTACTCGTTTAATGACCTCCCCCCAACTTGGTCCTCAAAAAAAAAAAATTAATCAGGGGATGGAAATGCTGCGCCATTTGCTCCAATCTGACCCGCTGTGCCAAGCTGATCTTTAACGGCAAATTGCGTGCGGAACGCCAAATTTATCAGTCACCATCAACCGAGCAACACGCGTTACACTAACGGCGCGACCGTGTCCATATCAAGTTAGTTCATTGATGTATTTTGGTTCATGCATGAATCTTCTTAAGGTGGTGTTTGTGTGCATACCTCATTATGCGACTATATACGTTTCAACAGGAAAGTTGTTAGCCAAACCGTATAAACTGAAAAAAAAAAAAAGTTTCACCGGTGAAGTCAGGACTGCAATAGCAAAAATTTGTAATGGTAATGCCGCAGGCACTTTCTATTTTCTACAATCTAGATAATCTTAGAATCAACCTATAGATAATGGCTGGAATCTTTGATGGCACATGTGTAAGTGCCGACGCCCTTTGCTCCTTGACAGATTATCGACGGCCGACCCTCTGGTTTACAACTATATCTACAGCTTGTATTGCTTGTAGAGCAAACGTTTGTTTTCTGGGTACAGGTTTGCCCAAATAAAGTTCACTAATAGAAACGGCGGCTGCTGCCTTCGTCAACTTCATGACCCCGTGACAATACGAAGGTTGAAAGCTAGCGCTTTTGAATCCGACATTGCGACACTCTGCAAAACGCTGGTGTAAGAATGGATGTATGGCTGCTTCAGGGCAAAATGCTCTTAACCGCAATCTCTTTCCCTAGAGAGCGCACCACGTAGAACAGTTCACAAGCTGTGTGTTGATGCTTGCCGATAGCGCGTGCCCCAGCTTATCGCAACCACGCCCTTAGAATCAAAGTTCACTGCTGCTGCTCAAGCGACTGGCCCCCCCTCCCCCTTCCGCCCCGTATTTTTTCATGCATGTTCAAGAAGGGTGGCGTGTTTCCTCTTTGCTTGAGCATTCGACATCAGGTCTAACACGTGGTGGGATTGTATCACGTGTGTCCTACAAGCAACCCCGCCTCGTTTAATCTCTGCTTGCTTGCGCAGCGCTCGCCACTCCAGCTTGTGCAGTTTTACGCGTTGGGGGGACCTATGCGTGGGGAATGTTACTAACTTGTAATTTACGCGGAATATGGCGGCGATGGTGAAAACCCGTCAAGTTTCCGTGTAGTTCCTATCCTAATAAAAAAAAAAATGTCACTCAATCGCCTAGCAGTGGCATGACAAGCCCATCTAAATTTCTTCGAGGTTCTCATGTTGGCTGTGGCACTTCAATGAACGGAACATGCGTTTTTTTATTAATTTTTGATAGTCCTATCGGTTTAGTATGAAGATAACATTTATTAGTTCATCTCTAGTCTAGTCTCGAGTTGCTGTTCATGGTATATACGGTGTTTTCCGCAGTGAACTTAGTTGGGGACAAATGGGGCGCATGGTGCATTTGGCTGGTACACTACCTTCACGGCTGGTTTTAAACTTATAGTTGAACTTAGTTGGGGACAAATGGGGCGCATGGTGCATTTGGCTGGTACACTACCTTCACGGCTGGTTTTAAACTTATAGTTGGTCGAGCATGCGCTCGAGCATGGGAACCGACCAGCTTCGGGCTACAAAATCCAAGAGCCTCGGGCTACAAAATCGATTCGCGGCATGTTTCGCGGACCAAGACAAGCAATACCGTCTTGTGAAATTTTCGTTACAACTCTCGTGACTTTTTCTTAGGCTACCTACACGGCTGGTTTTAAACTTTTAGTTGGTTGAGCATGCGCGAGAGCATGGGGACCGACCGGCTGGATGACATTTGGCATTGATCCGTGCGTGTTCGTTAAGATAGAAAACAAGAGCTTTGGGCTGTAACCGTTTGCGGCACGTTTTGCGGACCAAGACAAGTAATACCGACATGCGAAATTTTCGTTATAACTCCCATGACTTTATTCTCCCACGTATAATGAACTCTCCCCCAAACTGGTGTCAACATTTGTGGGGAAAAAAAAGGTGGTGGTTTCATTACGCGAGTAAATAGGGTACAGTTGAATCCATAGCTCGGCATACTCACTCATGAGTACGCTCACTCACACTCATTCATACTCATTTGAATGTGGTGAGTGTGAGTATGAGTGAGTATGAATGTGAGTGAGTACTCTGAGTGTGAGGAGAGAGTATGAACGTGAGACTGTGAGTGAGTAGGAGTTTGAACATGAGTGAGTACTGATGAGTGTGAGTATTCGTTAGTATGAACGTGAGTATTCATGAGTGGGATTAGGAGTGAGAGCTCATGAATGTGAGTAGGAGTAAGTACGAACGTGGGTGAGTACGTGAGTAGACTTGACTGCGAAGGTGAGTGAGTTGCTGCGAGTGTGAGTAGCAACGAGTAAGAACATGTGTAAGTTACTATGAGTGTGATAAATATTTGTAACCATCGCAACGGCGTCCTTAATATGCTGTAAATAACGGGCACTATGGCATGCAAGCTTACTGTATGTAAAAGCCTTCAATTAGTTTGGAAACTGGGGGAGCCATCCTACATCAGATGGGCGGGGGGGGGGGGCGAGGTGACCGCGCAAAACTCTAGTTGAGGGTAGCCGTCCATTTTGTTGTAATTTGAATTTTCTAGGCTGAATAACTTTGAACTGCCTGTCCCTTTAGCTACCGTTCTTGCTGCACTTACCTCTTGCGCCTTCAGTCTACGCAACCCGCTGATAATACATGTAAAACAACAAAGTCTTGAGAAGCCCTTTGATGAAAATCGCCGCACGAGCCGGTTCAGAAAAAAGAAATGCACTGCGCAAGCGAAAAAAAAAAAAAAAACACGCTGAAATTGCCCTCGAGAGAGAGCACATTGTGTGCGCGACGCACATTGTGCGCAGCGATTTTGCAGTTTCTATCTCTGCGTTGTCCCTCAAGTGAAAGTTGCCTCGAACGAAAACCTTAAGTGATCCCATGACCTCTCAAGCGCGAAGCTGTGTGCAAAGTTCGCCTTTTCAGTGCTCCATTAAGGAAAAAAAAAAAAAAAAAGCTTGGAGAACGGTAGAGCTTCGCCTTCAATAGTATAGTATGCGATAGCGTAATCGGACCCTGTTCACATCGCCGTTTCAATCTCTACTCTCCCTTCAGTTTTCGGCGGCTTATTATGCCTTCAACAGTGCAGACGCAATGTGCAATAAGCTCACACTCACCCTTGATAATTTATTCTATCATTCACATAACCTGGGCTAATACAAAAACACACATAACGCAACTCGTTAATTACCGTTTTATTCGGCTCTCCATGATAAGCCTGCGTACGTACGCACACTGCCAATGAATGTTAACCGCGTCCGCAGATACATAAATAAGGCCCCCTGCAATTGTCAATGCCGGCACGGAGCCAACGAAGTCTCCGCGTGAGCGCGACTCACAGAGGAAGGAAAAAAGTCTCCGAAGATGCGCACAATTTCTCGAATGCAAAACTGCCGTATGCTACGCATTCCATCTGAAGGCGAGGCAGAGAGGGGAGGCGCCGTCTCGATGGTCGCGCCGGGCCACAGACCACCTACCAGTAGCCAGGCGGCCGGGGTGGCCGCGGTGCCGACGTGGCAGCGAGGCCCTGGCGCCCACCTGTCCCGCTAGTGCAGTCAGAAGGGGCTAGGGGCAGTGGAACGAACGAAGCGGCCGAGTCGGATGGCATGGCAATGTCTTGGGTCTGGTGGGTAATCATAGCGGCGGCTGTGTAGTATACTGAAGCTGTCGAGAGCATCTCTATTTTGCGTGCGTGCGTCGCAGCCTACGATAGTGCGTTTCTAGTGCTTGTAACACATTACTGAGATTCTAAACGATGTCGCAGCGTCTCCTACGCGTCATGGCACACGAATGTGCAGGTGCGTCGTAATTGCTCTGAGTCATTGCCTGTTTGTGGAACCTACCGACCCTTAAAGAAAGCGACAATTGTTCAGCTCGATTGTTTATTGAGTAACCTGAGTACACGTAACGCTACCTCAATGTTAATATTCATCATCGGCCTGACAACATCCACTGCAGGACAAAGGCCTCTCCCATGATCCGCCACTCAACTCGGTCCTGTGCTTGCTGCTGCCATTATGTACCCGCGAACTTCATAATCTCATCTGCCCACCTAACTTACTGTCTCCCCCTAACCCGTTTGCCTTCTCTGGAAATCCGGTCAGTTATGCTTAATGACCAGCTGTTATCCTGCCTATGCGCTACATAGCCGGCCCGTGTCCATATCTTCTTGATTTCAACTATGATATCCTAAACCCCGGTTTGTTCCCTGATCCACTCTGCTCTCTTCTTAACTCTCAAGGTTACAACTACTATTTTCCTTTTCATTGCTTTCTGCGTCGTCCTCAAGTTAAGCTGAACCCTCTTTGTAAGCTTCCAGGTTTCTGCTCAGTATGTAAGTACCGGCAAGATGCAGCTGTTATATACCTTCTTCTTGAGGGGATAGTGACAATCTACCAGCCATGAGCTGAGAATGCTTGCCGAATCTTCTCCACCCTACTCTTATTCTTCTAGTTACTTCAGTCTCGTGGCTCGGCTCCACAGGTACTACCTGTCCTAACTAGACGTATATACAACTTGAAGTGCACTGCCAGCTATCTAGAAGTGCTGTTTTCTTTCGAGGTTGTTGTTCCTTACTTTCGTTTTCTGCCGGTCATTTTGTAGATTCCAATAGAAGGAAAGCGGGAAAAGTGGAGATAAAGTTTGCTGGGCAGGTGAGGTTAGGAAATTTGCGGGTATGAAGTGGCAACAGCAAGCAAAGGACCGAGTTGACTGGCGGAACAGGGTAAAGGCCTTTGTCCTGCTGTGATGATGATGAGTATGTGAATTTAAAAGTATGTGGGTGAGTGCGCCTGAGTATGGGTAGGCGTAAGTATGAAGGTGAATTCTTATGTGAGTGCGGAGGTGAGTGAGGGCCTATGATCTTGAGCAGGCGTGAGTATGAAGGTGAGTAACTATGAGTCTTAATTGAGGTGCACGAAAAATTGAAGTACAAAAAGGAGACACCTGGACACGGCGGTGTGAGTAGTCGTGAGCCATGAACAATGAGTGTGAGTAGGCGTGAGTATGAACATGAGTGAGGGCTTATGAGTGCTAGCTTGCGTGAGTATGAACATGACTGAGTACTCACAAGTGTGAGTAGTCGCGACTATGAACGTGAGTGAGGGCCTAGAGTTTGAGTTGGCATAAGTTTGAACGTGTGTGCTCATGAGTGTGAGTAGGAGTGAGCATGAACGTGAGTGAGTACTCTGAGTGTGACAAGGAGTGAGTATGAACGCGACTGAGTAGGAGTGAGTGTGAGTAGGCGTGAGTATGAATGTGAGTGAGGGTGAAGGCTGAAAAAATTGTGGTGAGTAGTCTCTCAAAGTGCCGACCTATGGTTGCATCCCATCACAACGAAGTCTGCTTCAACGTAATTTTTGCCACAACGCAGATTTCGTCATTCCCCGTTGAAGTCTCATAGAGTATAATACTTCGAAATTCCATCCAGTACGAACTTCTTCATGGCTGCGATTCCACTTGAAGTTTTTGTAGAACAACCACAAGCGAAGTTATTTGAACTAAACCTTATTAAAAATCTCAAGTGTTTCTAAGGGGGGACGTGCCTTTTCAAATGAACTTTTAGGATAGTGATGAAAATATGCACAGACACCAAGAATGGCCTCGCAGCGCTTCCGTAAAATTTGGAGGCGATACCACAAAAAGAAGTGACAAATTATTTCTTCATTGAACCTCGTGGAGGGGCAGGAAGATTTATAAATTGACAAAAATAGTTGGTAATACTGTATGCACAGCCAAATGTATGCTAAAGGTGGCTACGTTTTCGAAACAAGCTTTCGCTGCCCTAAAGCTTGAAGTTTAAAGTTTTCTCCAGCGACACTGAAATGAGCACAGTTGTACTACAAACAAGAAGCCCTACGAAAACTTCTTTAGGGAGTAAAATCAAAAACTATAATCAATCCCCTGAAGCACAGTTCAAGGAGCGTTACAAAACAAACTGAACGAAAATCTGTGTAGTGGTTTCCAAGATATCTGCTCCTACAAGCTGAGCATGATGCAAAAAAAACTGTATTGAGAAAACTGCGTTTCACCTTCTCTTTACACCTCTAAAACACCTAAACGTTTTATCTTAGGTTTGTAATGCCATATTTGACTTCTCAGACATGTGGCCTCTCCCCGATGCGATTTTGTTGCCTTTTTTTTCATAACCTCTTTTTTTTTTGATCTACAGAGGACAAGTATAAATTTCAAACCAAGTTTTCTGTATGAAGGAGTGGTGCGATAGGCAATGCCATATTTGACTTCTTGGACATGTGGCCTCTCCCCGATGCGATTTTGTTGCCTTTTTTTTTCATAACCTCTTTTTTTTTTTATCTACAGAGGACAAGTATAAATTTCAAACCAAGTTTTCTGTATGAAGGAGTGGTGTGATAGGCATGACAGAAAATATCATAATTGAATAAGGCAATATACTGAAAGGATTACACATTTTTCTTGTATTCAAGCTAACTACTCCTTGATTACAAATACAGTTTAACCTGGATATAACGAAATTGATAAATTCCCAGAAAAATTCTCTATAAAGAGGATTTTGTTATATGCAGGTTCGGTATGAACATTGGCAAAATAAACGTGCAAATTGAACAAAAGGGGGACTGAAGTAGAGCTAACCGAAAACACTCATTTTACAGTAAAAAAACTGCGTTATTACTGCGATAGCAATTAGATGGACGCTCTCGAAGGGTTTTTGCCGTTGCCATGTTCCGTGCATTTACGTGGCACACAAGCATGTACCCCTTCCCCCACCCACCCTATTCGCGGGGCAGTTTGCGCATCGTGACGAAGTGGGCGCCATGCCCGGGCGGCATTTTCCCCTTTTTTTTTCTTGAGTTTTAACATGTGAATGGGGGTGGCGACAGCTATTTGGTAAAGCACCCTCCATGTGCACCGCGGCCCCGCATATGTGCCGCTGACTAATAGCGTGGCACTGCCAACGCGCAAAAGCAGTTTTCTTTTTTATTAATTTGGTGTTGGGGGGGGGGGGGGCACCACCCGCGCCCACCAGCCTGCAGGTTGCAGGCCCGCCTTGGGCTCACCCACCCGCGCCCAATAAATAACGAGCGGTCGCTCTGGCCTGGTGCGCTGTGCACTTCGTTGCCACTTCACGCTTCGTAGGCGGCGAGGAAGTCGTGTGACATGCATGCTCATACCAAAGTGCGGAGTAAAATTCCTAGATTGTTAGTGGGGACAATTTATTTTATCAAGGTTGTTCCCACTGTTACTTTGTTACATAGAGGTTGCAAATACATGTGCTTCTATGGAGCAACAGCAGGGAATAGAAAAAATGTTATATTGAGGAATTTGGGATATGGAGGTTCGTTATAAGGTTTAATTGTAATTACTGAACATTTTTATATAGAGAAAAATGGCTCACTCCATGACAGCCTATGCCCTCTTTCCAAATAACGAACAGTTATGGGCATAAAACTCGTGGCACAAGAATTCTTTAGCAGTTCATTTAATTTCGCGAGTTGTGCATATAAAAACTCGTGCCCCTGCTTCATATGTGCTCTTTTGCCACTCTAGCCGTGAAACGCATAATCATACAGCTGGTTGCGGAAACGCTAATCTACGAGGCTTTCAAAGTTTCTGAACATTCATGGACCATCGCGGCGATACGACTCACGGCTCCAAGCACGTTTCAAATTCGACCGTGAAGCGCCCGGCCGTGTGTACAGTGCAGCCGGTGCGTGATGCATTTGGTAGCGACGTTCAGCAGCGACGATCCGCGCAATGTGTAGCTGCGATGACAAAACACTGAATGGGTCTGTTATAACTTTGCAAGAATTGCAACTCATGAATGGACTTATTATCAATTGTGGCCTAAAAATTGTTTTTGAACATCATATTTTCAGTTTTGTAGTCTTATTTTTTCTATCAGATTTCAAAATATCTTCATGGAAATCTGTTAATCTGTTAAAACGGAAATCTGTTAAATGGAACTACTGCTAAACTGAACTATTGCCTGTGCAATGCTTGGTTTCGGGCTTGTATTCTGCACCCATGTCCACCTCTCAGTAGACGGTACTCCTGTTGAATGGAACACATTTTCCCAGTCCCTTCAGGTTCCGTTTACTGAGTCTACTGTATTATCATTCTGAAATACTGAGCTAGTATCTCGGCTTTTTGGGATTTCTCAGAATGTACGCCGTGGCTATGGAGGGGGTGGCCCTGGTGGTGGCGGTGGTGGCGGCGGCGGCGGGGGCGGCGAGTACGGTGGGCCTCCTGGAGGTGGTCCTGGTGGAGGAGGCCCTGGCGGGGCTTCTCAGGAAGTCCTGGTGCCCAAGCAGGCAGTTGGTGTGGTGATTGGCAAGCAGGGCGATATGATCAAGCGCATCCAGCAGGAGACTGGTGCCCGTGTCCAGTTCCAGCAGCCACAGGATGACAATGCTCCAGACCGTGTCTGTCTGCTCACTGGCGGCCCTGATCAAGTGCACCATGCTGCCTCGTTCATTGGCGAGCTCATCCAGAGTGTCCTGGTGAGTGCCCTCCGAGTAGCTTGAAGTGTTCAAGGATCCAGACTCGAAACTCCTCTTAGCAGCTGTTCTCTTGAAATACCGACTCTATGATATGGCAGTAGACATGGCTGGATATGTACTACAGTTTCCTCGCGTCACAATGGAGCATGATAATGTAGCACAGTAGTTTTCGGCCATGGATGTGTCAGGGATGCCTTGTAGACTGGTGGAAATGATAGCGAACCCCTTCCTTGCAGTGATGAGAGACAGGGCCGGGTACGTACGGTATAAACCGGAATATAAGTCGAGATATTTTCAATAAAACAACGAAATAGTCACCCCTTGTCTTATATAACGGTGTCTAGTCAACAGAGCACCGCTGTCTGGCTACATGTGGCTTGCATGTGCATGAGAAGCTGGACGCGGCCATATTCGCATTCAAATTCGATAGCAGGTTGTTTGTTTTTTCTCTTGTCAGTTTTTTGTGTTTGTGATTTGCCTTTCGTCTGTTTAAGTTTTCGCTCTGCTTGACGTTTCATTTTTAGTATTTTTTTCGTTCACTGAATGATAGCGGTACGAGAAAGCAGTACTCGGCTGCGTTTAAACTAGAGGTTGTTAAACTAGAGGCTGCGTTTAAACTAGAGGAAGCGAATGGGAATATGGCGGCTCAGCGTCGCTTTGGTGTATCAGAAAGAAGCATGCGCTATTGGAGGGTGCAGAAAGGGAAGCTGCAGATGAGCAATCCTCGGAAAATATCATTTCGTGGGCGAAGTGCGGTTTATCTGCAGCTGGAAGATACGCTAGGGAACGTTGTGTGGGAAGTTCATGCGTGCTCGCTGCCAGTGACCGTGGATATCATTCGCAAGAAAGCTGTGGAACTCCCTTGAGAAGCTGGGCTCACGAAAGAATTTCGTGCATCAAACTCTTGGGTGCGTCGACTGATGAGACACAAAGGATTTTCTCTCCGGCGGCGCACATTCATCTGTAGAAGTTTCCAGACGGATTTTGAGGACAAGCTTATAAACTTTCAGGGCTTTGTGAACCGGCTTTGGGAGCAGAACTACATGATGGGGCATATTGACAATGCCGGTTATGATCATGCAGTGCGACTCATGCACCATGATCATGCAGTGTGGCGCCAAGGATGTGAAGCTGTTGTCCACTGGCAACGAGCACTCGTGCTTCACAGTCATGCTGGTATGCATGGCAGATGGTAGAAAGCTTCCGCCCTTCATCATTTCAATAATGCAAGACAATGCCCAAGGAAGTGTTCCCGCCTGGTGTTGTCGTTCGCTACAACAAAAAGGGATACATGGGTGAGGCCATGATGCTCAAATGGATACGAGTAGTCTGGAACCATCAGCCAGGTGCATTGCTGCGTCTTTGCAGCATGCTGGTGTTAGATGCAATTCGTGGTCACTTAACTGACGCTTTGAAGCATGCGTGCACTGGGCGATGGAAAAACTGACCTGGAAAAACATGAAAAAATGCTGTGATACCAGGTGGTGTGACGTCCCCCCTCCACCCGATCGACGTTGGGCTAAACAAGCTGTTCAAGGACTGAGTGCGGCTAGAGTACCAAAAGTGGATATCCGGCGACAACCCAAAGACACCCGATGGGCCGCCTACAGAGGCCTCTGCTTGCGACTGGGGCTGGGTGCTTTCCGCCTGGCGTTCCTTGCCAGATTCCATGGTGGAAAATACTTTTAAGGTGGTAGGCCACCTTCAAAAGTCATTTTTTTTTTCGCGAGATAAATTTTTAGGGTTTTGTTTTTCTTGCACGGCCAAACATTCACATATATGTTGCAACAAAAATTATCCCCCTAGCGTCATTAGTTTGCGAGCTACAACAAGTTTTCTATACCCTATGCTCCTATAGCAAAACCGAAATCACATTTCCAACTGTGATTTCGGTTTCAGAAAATCTCTTTCAAAAGCAAGTGTTGTTTCGTCTATATCAATGCTATTCAAAATACTTTATGCATTTTATTGTGACTGTTATATAAGATGATGTCATTAGTTACAACTTTGTGTTTGAAAGTCTTCGTTAATCTCTAACAACAGCCACAAGGGGGACGCACGATGCTCGTCAGAATTTTTTTTTGTTTGCCTTGGTCAGGCTACGTCAGGCTTCGGTCTGCATTTGTTCCACGTGTCAACGCTACTAGGGCTGTATACTTAGGACACCTGGACCATATTACGACCAGCATGGGGAAGTGCAAAACACAAGACTAGGAAGTGCAAGTTTGCCGGAAATTGCTACACGACGACGAGGCTGCCTACTGACACAGACGCCGGTATTTCGGCGACCGCGAAGAAGCTTAGGGACATAAACAAGGCGTACCAGGCTCCACTAGAGAATTATGCGCTCCAAGGGAACAGGATAATGAACATAGGTATTCTCTCTTCAGTGTTTTCATCGCTGGCATGTTCCGAATGCATGAACACAACACTGAAGTTCGAGGAACGCTCTCACCAAGGGATATGCTCGGCTTGTGCTGTCGTGTGTACCGACTGTGGGTTCAAGCGCCCATTCATACGTTGAGAAAGGTGGGTCGTGCCAATAAAAACAATTTACGTCTGGTTTACGTGATGCGCCAGTTAGGAAAGGGCACGCTGGTGCGAAAACTTTTTTCAAAGTGATGAACATGCCTGCTCCTCCACGTCACTTCGCCTAGGACAAATTGTCATCTCTGCTTTCTGCAGCGGCAGGAGAAGTGGCGTCGAAGTCGATGACTGATACTGCTGTGGAAGTTCGTCGTGTTGTGGGGAGTGCCGAGTGTGGTGTTTCAGGTGATGGCACGTGGCAGAAGCGTGGCCATTCATGTTTGAACGGTTGTGTGTCTGTGATTTCTGTTGACACGGGAAAGGTTATTGATGTTGAGACCCTTTCTAGTTCGTGTAAAGTCTTGTAAAACCAAAAGCAAGTTGAGGCAAGATAGTGCTTCGTACAAGGAATGGAAGGCAACCCACACCTCTTGTCAAGCAAACCATGAAAGAAGTGCTGGCAGGATGGAGACGGTTGGTCTATGCCAAATATTTGAAAGGTCGAAAGGCAAAAGAGATTTGAAGTACCTGCAGTACTACGGTGATGGTGATTCTAAGAGCTATGCCGCTGTCAGACATGTATGAAAAGGACAGTGTGCAAAAACTGGTATGTATTGGGCATGTCCAGAAGCGTGTTGGCTGCCGCCTCAGAAAACTGAAGAAGACAGTGTATGGACTCGGTGGTAAGGGAAAGCTCACTGATGCCCTCATTGACTGCCTGCAAAACTACTATGGCATCGCCATAAGGGCTAATGTGGGGAACCTTTCTGCAATGAGAAAAGCTACCCTTGCCTGTCTTTTTCATTCACAAGCAGCCGAGACATGACCTGTGTCCACTTAGACCGAAAAGCTGGTGAGGATAGCAAAGGGTCGAAGCACTCGGCCAAGGCAAATATGTACACAAAGGAGGACTTCCTAATGATGTGCTCAACAAAGTTCAAACTGTCTACAGTGATCTGTGCTCTGATGAACTTCTAATGAAGTGCCTTCATGGAAACACTCAAAATGCTAATGAGTGTTTCAATGGTCTAATATGGCAGCGGGCACGCAATGAGGTGTACGTAAGCTTGCCTACAGTAATGTTTGCCTTGCATGATACTGTGGCACACTTTAATAATGGCAGTGTCAGCACCCATAGATATCCTGAGGCAAGCTGGCATAGAACAAGTGTACCACACGACGAAAGCTTGCATTGCCAGAAATCACCTGCGCATGTAGAATGCTAAACGCAAGTCAGCGTTTCATGCTTCATGCTGTCAGCTTCATGCTTAAAAGATGGCGCCAAATGGCGCGCGCTATCATCAGTGGCTGGAACGAGCAGGCAACATTATTGCGACAGTTTTCGGGGGTGCGATAATCACTCGAGGAAAAAATGTTTCCGTATTTTTTTGGGTGATGTGGGGGGTGCGAGAATTATGCGAGTAAATACGATAAAAGAAATCCATCGAATATTTATCAGTTCACAGCTGAATTCTCCAACAGCTTCAGTCTAAATTGGCTCTTTTTCTCCGTTTTTTTTTTGTTTTTTTAACATTACTTCCTTGATATTCACTGCATAATATTTATTCTAGTTCATTTCATAGCTCCAGCCATTACTTACACAAATGTCAAAGCTTTACTGAATAAAGCCACCCATTAGTCACTCATCACAGCTGGCGTGGCTAGCACTTTTAATGCTATTTTTGACAAAGATTACCTCCCAATAAATAAATATTCAATATTTGGCATTGTACATAGCTGGGTAAATTAAATAAGACATGCTGGTCTTGAGGAAAAAGTTATTTCAATGCTGCCTGTCCTTAAAAAAACAATATTGTTTTTGAGTGGCCTACCATTTTAAGAAATGTTCCATCAGCAACTCGCTGTATGGCACGGAAGACAACGCACTGTGGGAGGCGGCCAGCGACAAACTCTCGTCTTCAGAGGTTGAGGGGAGTTCCGACAATCGGGGCCTAATTTGCACCTAATTTGCAAATTGTGCGCCTAATTTGCAAATTAATGTCGTCGGCAATTTTCGGTTGTTTTCCTTTTTTATTTTTCGGTAACCTGAGCTTGGGGGGTTGACCTATATTCCCCCTCGACGTATATCCGGTTTATATGGTAGGTAAATTAACTTAACTGGAGCGTGAAGCAGGTGCCTTTCATTGTTTCTACAAACATCAAGTAAACGTGCCACATTACTTCATTTTGGACAGTTCAACACGTGGTACACTTGCACTTAGAGTTGAAGCACTGATTTTTTTGCATGTGGCTGAGGGTTTCGCGGATCATGGATATGGCTTTGAAGACCCTAGGGGATCCCTATTTGAGAACCACTTATCTAGCAAAACAAATTTGTTATATCCGAAGACCACAGTATCCATACTCAGCAGGGGGTTAAGTGGGAGGATAAAGTTGTGTCGCTGTATGGCGGTCGTTTCAATTTCGCTCGGTGGTATGGGAGAAGCTAGTTCTCCTGATGTGAATGCGGAATGTATTTGACGGCATTGTTACAAAAGACATCACCAGTATCGGTTATTTATTCAAAACTTCTGCACCAGTTTTAATTGTAACGTAATCGTGCACACCTCAAAAGCTGATCTTCATGCAGCCTAGCTGGAGATAATGCTACCTGGCTCATTTCACCTTCAAAATGAAAATGGGGACCCAAGAAAAAAAAAAAACTCCGTACACGCAATTTCACAGAAGACATCAGTCACCAGCAATGGTTATTTATTCAAAACTTCAGCACCAGTTTTAATTGTAACGAAATCGTGCACACCTCAAAAGCTGATTTTTATGCAGCCTAGCTGGAGATAATGCTACCTGGCCTATTTCACCTTCAAAATGGAAATTGTTATCCAAGAAAAAAAAAAAAAAAAAACCCGGACATGCAATTTCTGATACCCACTGTTCCTGATACCCCAGAGTTTTCTCTTTAGAAGATACCCCGCCGCGGTGGTCTAGTGGCTAAGGTACTCGGCAGCTGACCCGCAGCTCGCGGGTTCGCATCCCGGCTGCGGCGGCTGCATTTCTGATGTAGGCCCGTGTGCTTAGATTTGGGTGCACGTTAAAGAACCCCAGGTGGTCGAAATTTCTGGAGCCCTCCACTACGACGTCTCTCATAATCATATGGTGGTTTTGGGACGTAAACGCCACATATCAATCTCTTTCGAAGATAAAGAAAAATGGTGTAAAGATGCACACGGATACATCATAAGAGATCGTTAATGTAGTTTTCTAAATTCCTTTCGCCTCACTTAGGTAACCTGCAGCATTTGGCGCTTTACGTTTTCTCTTCTGAATTATTCGCTTGTAGAGGGGCGTCACATAAAAAAAAGGAAGGGATTGCGACTGCAAGGAGTTCTTCTGACGAGCGTTGGTGTGCTCGGATTGGCGTGTCTGATTTTCCAGCGCACACGTTGGAACTCCAAGCGTCAAACTATCTGAAAATTGGAGCACAAATTATAAAAGAAATATGCAATTGCAAGCTTTTTCATAGTCATTATCATTGCTTACCCAACATATACAGTAATCCCTTACTAACTCGAACTCAACTCCGCAAGGCCCAGGCGTGGAGCTTAAGGGGGAGAAGGTCAGATGCATGGGTGGGTCAGAGAGTTCTACAGGAGAGGGTAGGCAGACTTTCAACTTGAAAGCAGCCGTGTAGCTTCCGTATCGCCCCAAAACGAAACATTTTGCTCACTATGTACAAAACACGCCGCAATGCCACTTGACGCTTTGGCTTGGCTTGGATTGAATTGAATCTCCATGCAATAATAGTACACTTGATGCTTGAGAGATATTGCGTGCTATCATCATCAATGGCTGGAACGAGCAGACGACATTATTGTGGCAATTTTCGGGGGTGCGATAATTACTAAAGGAAAAAAAATCGTATTTTTGTTGGGCAATGGGGGGGGGGGGGGGGGGGGTGGTGCGAGAATTATGCGAGTGCGAGAATTATGCGAGCAAATATGGTATCCATTGTGGGAAAATTTTTGCTTCGTTAAAACAAGGTTTTAAATACGTGAGTGTCTATGGGAACTTCAAAGGGCATTTTACAATTGCTTTGCTACATCTATTAGTTTGTTATATGCTGCTTTGTTAAGACGAGGTTTTACTGTAAGTGGGGGGCAGGCCAGGATTAGTGGTTGTGGTGTACCCTCAGGTTTGCTCTGTGTTACTGTGTGTAGTGGTAGTGAATGTAATAAGTGTTTGTGCCACAGTGTACTTTGCCCATGGTGTTAATTCGATATGCCGCAGTGTCGGTGGGATATCGACTGATAAGGGAGGAGCGTAGCGCAATTTTAAATTGCTGCAGTGCGGTGCAAATACGGTGGTGGCACCTTCCTCTAATTGTGGGCCTCTGCCTTTGTGTGTGTGTTGTTCGTTTGTCCGCCACAGAACCGCAGCGGATTCGCTCCGCAAAGACAATTTGGATTTCCGCCACCTTTCGTGAGTCGAGCCTTTCACCGTGGGCATTCTCTTCTTCTGTCTCAATGGCGGTCTGATCTTGGGGGAGGGGGGGGGGGAGCGCTTGGTGATGGGTGCACATTTTGATCAGTACTCAGGAGGTTGTCCCTGCTTTTAAAAGCCTTTGATGACTGGAAGCAGTCAGTAAAGTTCAAACAATGTTGGCCGCAGAGTTGCATTTTGTGACCGTATTTGCACTGCAGCAGTGCAGCTAGTTTCTCTAATCATGTTGCTGCTGGTTCCTGAAGTTTGGGCATATACCGTAAGTACCCACATATAATACGGACCGGTATATAATGAGGCCAAATTTTCGAGGCACTAAATGAAAAATAAATTTTTACTTCCTTATAAAACAACATAGGAAAGGTCGTCAAAAAACACATTTATTGATCACACATCCGCCATGTGAATCGCTGTCGTCCTCAACTGCGCTTTCCTCTGACATTTCCTTGTCAGACTAATCGTCAAATAGGTCAAGGGCATTAGAGATGCCGCACTTCTTGAAGGAGACTTGAAGGAGAGACGCACAAGGTCCTCTGGGATGCTTGCCCAAGCGTCTACGATTCATTTGCATAGCGTGGTTGGCGATGTCAGTTTCAGCCACTCATTCGGCGTCACTGCAGCATCCACTCCGCGTAGCAACACTTTACCTTGAGATGTAACCTTGTTATTTTACCTTGAGTTGAGATGTCATCCCACCCGTCATTATGACCAGTTCCGTGCCACAGTTGCACAAGAGCCTCTTCACTGAATCGGTCGAATGGCAGTGAAATGCATCCAGCACCAGAATAGATGGAATACAGTTGGCCGATTTTTTTGGACCTTGCGGGGACCGAAAAAAAGAACAAAAAAAGCACAGTGCGAAAAATTCGTTTTTGTCGATAATATGAACTTTCTTGCATCAGGCAGGCATAAAAAAAAGTCCACGATTCTGCCTTGTCTCTTACTACGCTTGGAAGCAATTTGGTTCGCCCGTATTTGCGCCAAGGTGAGATCGTAACTGTAAATGCTCGACAAAAGTGTCACTGCGTCTGCGATCTCCGCCGCCGACGGCTGCGGGCAATCATCATCCGAGCCGCTCTCGGGCTGCTACACAACCTGGCGAAAAATTTTTGTCTGTGGGCGCCGCGCTCGAAACAGTCATTGTGGCTGGCACATTCACTCCACCACTGCGCAGGTCGCGCATTAGGCCCTTTCTGCCATCGGTGCCGTCGGATCGCCTACGTCCAGGTCATCCGCCTCGGGCTCTTCAGCACCAACGAACCCGGCATGCCTAAAGCAATGTGCAATTGTGCTTTCACCGCCTTCCAAGTTTCGGCTAACATATAGATGGCGGCCAGAATGTCGACTTCGTTGGCCTTCCCATTGTCAAGGCACAAGACGGTGCGGCTGAGCAGGGGGGCACGGTAGTGTGCCTTGATGTTTTGGATCACACCTTGATCCGTTGGCTGGAGCACGCTTGTGGCTTCAAGGCGGCAAAAATTCGAGCCGAATGGCCTCTAGCTTCAGCACGCTACCGTGCGCGCCACAGTTGTCAACAAAAAATGCCTTGCAGCACAAACCTTGTGGTGAAGTTTCCATGGGTATTTTTCAAATAGACTGCGTGAACCATGCCTTGGAGTGATTGTCGTAGTCCACCGGGAGGGTCTTCACTGCCTTAAAACACCTAGGATTTCTCGCCTTCCCGATTACACAAAGAGGCAGTTTTTCTGTACAGGTGGTGTTGGCATCTACCATCACTGTTAAGCGCTCCTTGCTAAGCTTCCCGCCGGAGCACGATTCTCCCGAAAATGCTAGTGTACGGTCTGGGAGCATCTTAAAGAACAGTCCTGTCTTATTGCAGTTGAAGATGTCCAAAGGAGGGTATTCTTTAAGCAAGGATCTCAACTTCTTGACACAGTAATCGGACCGTGTCAAGAAGTTGGTCGACCACTCCGCTCACTTTCTTGGACAGAAATACACCTCTTCTTAAAGCCGCGAAGCCATCCATCAGTGAACTTAAAATTCTCAATGCCCATTTTGAGTGCGAATGAGTGTTTTCTTTCCACAAGTTTCCCAACACGGGCAGGTTCTTTAACAACACTCCTTTTAACCACAACTTCAGAGCATCTTCAAGGGCTGGATGAACGCCTTTGCTGTCGTTTTTCTGGCTCTTGTTGTATGAATTCTGAAACGCTGTCAAAATCTTCATTCTGTTTTTGATATAGCCAGAAACCGTTTGCTTCGATAGGTGGTATTCTTCGGCGACATCACGCTGGAACCGTCCACACTCTATTACCTTGATCATTGCAGCTTTCTTCTCCAATGTCATGGTCGTATAGATCCCACGCTTTTTCGCATCACCTGGCTCTCGCGATGGTATAGATGGCGGAGCCATGGCGTCGAGCTCGAGCACACAAAATTTGATGAAGTAGATAGCTGCCGCGAAGCACACACGTCTCGATACGACCCGACAAAACACGTGCTAAATGGAGACTGAAAGAAGCTGGCAAGCAGCTACTGCTGCAAAAAATGAAGAATCTTTACTCCGCCTACTCCCTGTTCGGTGCGATGACGATACTGCTGATTGGAGACGAAAACATAGTCCCGTGCAACTCTGCCTCCGAAACGAAATACGACGTTCGCTTTCCAATCTCGGAGGCAGCAAAGTCATTTTGAAAATAAGTCGCCAAGCTTAGTCAAGGCGGCAAAAAATCAAACATGGTGGCATCCTTACACGTTCGTAGCACCACTCAAAACAAGCGATTTAGTCCGAAATATCGAACTTTTGGGGACGAAGTCCGAAAAAACTGTCGATAAAATGCATTAGCCTTATGGGAACCCTGACGGTGCATTATTGAAGTCCGAAATCTCAAACCAGTTCTCAAACAAATTGGTCGGCGACTATAGAAAGCAGGGTGCCAGGCTGTCTGCACCACATGGCCTTTACCCAGTCCGGGACAAGGTCTTCGTTTATCCAGCCTTTATCGTGACATCTCGCAATGCCATTCTTCGGCAGTCATCCCTTTTCGGCATAGTCTTGCGCTTGACGCCATAAAGTGGGAGCTTGTGGCCGTCCGCTGTGCACGATAACATGACTGTGACACATGTTTTTTCATTGCCGGTGGTAGGGACACTACTGTATTTACTCGCATAATCCTTGCACAATTTTTGGCAGAAAACTGATGCAAAGTGGGGGGCGGGGCAGAATCACGCGGCAAAAACTTTCTGCGAAAACGTACAGAGCGAAAAAGTTAACAAAGTGGCCACGAATATTGAATAAAAAATCATCTTACTAAATTAATAATCTATTCTTTGCCGATCCCCCTTAGTGGGTACTTGCCATGGCTGTGGAATCATCGGTACTCTCACGTCAGCAACTGCAAGCTTCGAGCTGTACTAGTTGAGACTTACCTCAACAATGAAAGCACAGGTTCAACACAAGGCAAGATTTGACACAAAAAGTGCAAGCAAATAGTCGAGAATTAGAATACGTAGCGGTAGTGTTGGTCACTCAACAGGAGCTCGCAAAAAGGTAGCGTACGATGTCAGCATTGGGTTGATGGCCATTTAACACAGAATCGTCTGCAGTTGCCTTCTGACAAAATAGTTTACCATCCATCCCAGCTTTAGGCACATGGAAGGCCCATCGTCTTGGTGGTTTTCAGCTGCTGTCGCCAGTAGCAAACGCAGAACCCGCAGACTCTGAAGGGCATACTGGCGGCCCTGTTGCCGTTGTTTAGTGCATGATCAATCACTTTCAACTTGAAAGCAGCTCGCTATGTACAAAACACGCTGCAATAAGCACTTGCCACTTTGGCTTGGCTTGGATTGGATTGAATCTTCATGCAATAATATGATTTATGCTTAGGAGATGGCGCGAGCTATCATCAGTGGCTGGAACGAGCAGATGACATTATTACGGCAATTTTCAGGGGTGCGATAATTACTTGCGGAAAAAAAAAGTTTTGTTAGGCAATGGGGGGGGGGGGGGGTGCGAGAAATATGCGAGTAAATATGGTAATTTGTTTCGAGCCCCTTGTGTGAACTGTAAGGGGCGATGGCATGTCCAGGTAAACTGGCGTTTAATCGGCATTGCCGATTTGTCCCAGCTGGAAGTTCTGCGAGCAGTGCAATGTAATAACGTGCCGTTGAATTGAGACAAGAAGCTCTTCAAAGGCTTCATTGAGCTTCTGAGAGATGGAGCTTTGCCGGCACAGGGAAAGTCCGGCTCGGCACATGTAGATGCAGTGCTTGCTGGCCTTGAAGGGGAGCCCAGCATCCCCTTTTCTCTCACCAGCTCTCTCACTTTCATATGCATCAGCTCCATGTTGACTGGCAAGTGCGCTCTCCCCACTGCTCTCGTACAAACTCTGTCAGTGCGAGTTCAATCTCTGGAAAAGCCTCATTTTTTGGACCGCGAAAGCTTTTTTTTGCGTTCTGCTTCTTGTCATCGCCATCCACCCACACTTCCCTTGGGACTTCGAACTGTCTTTCGGTCACACTGTTGCCGAGTTCCTCGGTAGCTGCGACGACCTTTCTCTTGAATGCAGCAGAGTACTGTGTTCAGTGCCCTGGCATGTTGCACCTTTGTGAAGTGAGGTCCACACGTAGGCTGTCAAGTACACGCTTAAAAAACTTAACAAAGAAAAAAAATGGCGCTAGTGCTTGTCTTCGCCACATGAGGCGCGAAGGTAACCAAACCAAGCCAAGCCATAGCCACTCATACACAAAACGAAGCCGTACTCGCGCGGCAGTTACAAAACTGAAACTTCAAGGACAACTTCGTTTTTCGAGCAAGTTTTTGTTCATATTCGCACATAGTACGATGCGGAAATTTGGAACACTAATATTGGTAAGAAAACCTCGTATTATATGTGGGTATTTACGGTAATGTTTGAGAGTTCCCTTATCATATGCTACTCCCCCTGCAGTTACTTGAACACTTTTGGACTGTGGGCTTCTTCTTAACAGTAGCAATCGTTCATTGTAAGTGTGCTAGC